CGTGTTCACACTTAACCAGTTTGTTTGAGGTTTGGTTGTTTTTGTACTTAAACGGTTTGCATTGAAAGAAAATAACAGGTGTATTTGGTTTCAATTTTCTTCGAATTGTGGGACGAATTAATGGGTGTTGTCGGTATTTTTTTTTGTATAAACTTTTATGTAATGTGTGGGAACGAAAACCTAGGTGTATTAACGTGGTCGGAAAGGCAGGAATATATTAGTCAGCTTCGTTGTGTTTGATGTGGACGCTATTTATTTATTAAAAAGGTTGAACCCCAACCTTAAGGGTCCCCCACCGCCCCTGCGCTGGAGTATCGTGAGGGAGGTAAATTGCAGGTTATGCCTCCAAGGGTACAAGGTGGAAGGCTATTTGTACACTTGCACTTACCCAAGAGCCAAATCCATATTTCAGGATTCGAACGCTTGACGCGGTAGCCTCAAGCAAAGTTGAATTTCTCCACCCTCCCCTTTTACCACTTGGAGATGTACCCTGGGGGCGAGCCCTATTTATTTATTGCTTTGTTGTCAAGTGGTACAAGTTACTATTTTGAATAGATCTGTGGTAAAGAGAAATGATTTCCTACAATAATAAAAGAATGAATGTCGCGAGCACTATTCATTCAGGACTTTGTGTTTCTCTATTTTACTCTTGAATATCTCATAACTGTTCACTTCACTCTTGAAATCACTACTGATGATCTTCCTATGCGTGTGTGGTACTATTGTTTTGCCTAATTCAAAGTTTTACGTCCAAAAAAAAAAAATAGTTGACGTCATATCAAATAATATTTTTTTTAAGAAAATGATGTAAATTATATTAAGAAAATTATCGCAAAAAAATAATAAACATTAATAAAATAATTGATTTTTTTAAAAAAAAAAGACGAGTTATATGCATTTTTTAACACACACATTTAATGTACGTTAATTATTTTCGATCTTCATTTAGATATGATATATTTCTCGAAATTAGTTTCGAGGGAATATAGAAGATTTATGCAACCCACAATTGTACAATCGTCGATAGATTTTTAAAATTAACTTGCTATCGAAATTCTTAATTTGTTTAAATGATATCTCTTTTGACATTAAAAAAAATTTAAATGTTTATTAGGAAATTTTTTAAATGACATCATAATAATTTCTTTTATATATAATTTTTTTCAGATGTTAAAATAATCAAGATGAAAAATTAGTTTATCTCAATTTTGTGTTGCTACAATTGAAATGTATTTTTTGGGATATGATAAATGTTTTCTTGATGAATGGATTAAAAACTCAAATTATTGGAGCTCATAATTTATATATGAAACATTATTTTAGTATGAGTAGTTATTTTACATATAAAGGAGGTATTTGATGATAACTTTATTAAATATAATTAAATCGTCTAATAAACCGAATTTTTTTTATTGTTCAGTATTCAATCGATTTAATGAAAGGTTTTTTATTTACGTGTAATATTATTTTATGAAAAATTCTGCGATTGAAAATAAAAGAGAAAAATAAAAAAATAAAAAATAAAAATGGAGCCAAACACTAACTGAGCCACAAAATAATATTTTGTCACTTAAATGGGATTTAGATTTTTATTTAATCACCAAATTTTGATATATTTGAATTTAATCCTCCAAAATTTATATACATCTAAAATATTCAATAACGCCATATAAACTAATTGACATCTTTTTGACTGAGTATTAAATTTTTTCAACATTGTGTTAAGTTTACTTTGATTTATCGTAACTGCTTTTAGGAAATAAACAATATACATGATTCAACATACTTCTTGTCACGTTATAAGGGTAAAATAGATTTATATAAAAAAATATATCAATCACCCAGAAAAAATGAAAAAAATAATTTATTGCGGAGCAATTGTGCTCCTGGCACCTTGGGTGCATGGCGCACAATTGCGACCCAGGAGCATGCTCTTGGATGCAGGAGCAATTGTGCTTCATGATGCATGGAGTATGTGCAACAAAAAATATATATTAAATAATGTTTTGTGTCAATTTTTTTTTTCATTGGGTGATTGATATATTTTTTTATAAATTTTTTTTATTTTCTTGAAGCTCATTTCAAGAACTATATCTAGGGGTATCAAAAAGGCTCGACTCATGCTCCGAGCCTCATTTTGAGGACACGGGCTGAGTTCGAGCTGGCCCGCGAGTCTTTAATTAAAAAGAAAAAAAGCATAAAAGGCAACTAGAAGCGGGGAAAAAAAGGAGCTTGCTCGGCTCGGCTCGAAAAAGTCTAGCTGAAAGCTCGGGTCGAGCCAAAATTTTTTGGTCGAGCAAAAGCTCGGTTCGGCTCAGACTCGTAGACCATTTTAATCCAGTTGAGCTCGAACCAAAAGTTTTAGGCTCGGGCTCGACTCATTAACATCTCTAATTATATTATAGACATATCAAATGATTTAAATGAATATCGAAAATAGTTAAAAGTATATCATACGTGTGTGTTAAAAAATCGTATAACTCATCTTTTTTATTAAAAAAAAAATTATTTTATTAATGCTTATTATTTTTTCACGATAATTTTCTCAATATAATTTACATCATTTTCTTAAAAAAAAATTATGTGTATAACATCAATTATTTTTCTTTTTGGATGTAAATATTCCTAATAAAATTATTATCACTTTATAATTTATATAGGTTATAAATTGTTATACTATTTTTCCTACCTTTCTCCATTCTTTTATGCAATATCTATAAAAATATATATATACTGCTTTTTTCCATTTCTTTATGCGACATCTATAAAAAATATATATGGCATAAAAAAATTAATATATATAAACTACCATCGCAGCATTTAAAAAATATATAATATATATACTATCCAGCGCGGAGAGATGCCCAGTATCTCTCCATACAGCACGGAGAGATCATCTCGCATTTTTATTTTTTTTCCTCCTCTCTAAAAATGAATATGCCATTTATTTATCATTTGTGAAGTATTTTCATTTTCCCATTTTATTCTTCAATCCTATTTTATTACCCTTCTATCATATTGTATTAGTAATTCACAAATTGAGGTCCCAGGCAAAGACAAAAAAGGGTAATATAGATATTTAACCCATGCCACAATTGTTGACTTGGAGAGTGATATTTCAATCACCCAAAGTTATCTTCTCATATACGCTTCTTCACTTTAGTGTCTGCCATTTACCTTAGGTTATCAATAAACATTCTATATTTTTTAATAGTTCTCTCGAAATTTACTATTAATAAGAGTTTCTTTTGGCTGTTTGATTTACTTCAGGTGTTGAAAAGATTGAGAAATTACGGCCAATTAGGAGATCGGCGAATTGAGGTATGTTATGCTTATTCTTGTATTTTCAGTGTTCATATTGAGGAAAAGAACTATTATTCCACACTCGAAAATAATTTGTGTACAACCCCTTCTATATATGAGAAATTCATCCATTAATTAGGAAATAACAGCCTATCGAATCTCCCTAAAAATAGTAACTAACTAACCAGGAAATCATTTACTTAGGAGATTGGGTAACATACTTTCCAAACCCCTTGAACTGAGAATGGACTTGTTTGCTGGAAATCAACAAAAAATATCGAAATTAATGTGGAATAAAAAATGAATTTCTACACCCCACTGACAAATCCGTATTACCATACAATAAAAAAGGAGGAACAAAAGATATCGAGGAAAAAGAATTAAATTTATGATATTATTTAATACTGTAGACGTGGGTGCAAATTATTTTAGTAACATTTCCCAATCTTTACTACTCCCCCCATCCCATAAAGATGAGCTTGCTTCCATTTTTACACGGATTAAGAAAATATAATTAATATAGTTTGAAATATAAATTTTTACTTATATTTTTTTTCTAATATACCCCTACATTAAATAACCAATACTTGAAAGTAACCTATAAGTTGGGACATACAAAAAAAGAAACCAAACTATCTTTATGGGACCGAAGGAGTAAAAGCTGTCACACTATAATAAAAAAAAAAAGTCAATTCATCATATCATTATAGCAAGAGAGAGTATGTGACCCAAACTTCGTTTCACTAAACAAGTCAAGACTATTAGCAACCAGACACCAATAATGCAGCATGGAGGTGAGGCACATTCTTTAAAAAATGTATGCTATTCTTCATTGCTTCAGGCTACTTTCTTGGAGATGAAAACTCCTGTGGAAAACTTCTTGTTTTCCAATCCAGTGAGCTAATTAATATGTTTATATATTGGCATGAGTTGATGCATACACGACTATACAATTTTCAGTCTTAAACCTTTTGTTGATTTTATTCATCTCTTTTAAATCAGAATTTTTTTTTTGTTCATTGTAGTCTATCCAAATAATGATTTATAATGCCATAATGCATGATTTTACACCAGAAAGCTATAAACAGGTTTCTTACTAAGAATTCAGTGTGCATCAAAATTTTCCTTTTAATACACTTCTATTTTATCATTTATGTCAACACATGGGAGGATTATTTATCTTATAGCTAAACTTATACTTCTGGTTTGTACTATTTACAAGTCACTTAGGTTTGGATAACATTTTCACTGAAAGATTCTGATTGCATTTCGATTTATAGAACGCAATGACAACATTACGCATCAACTGTAGGAATGAAATTTGTTTTCTTTTCAGTTCTCTAATAGGTTGCTAAGCAACAATTTGTAATATAATGATAATATATAATGATGCAGAGTGTGTGTTATATATGAAGATTACATCTACATTTATCATTTTAAATAATTAATCAAATTTGTAGGTTTATTGAGAACAACGAAAAGATATTTTGACATGTTAATATTACTTAAAAAATGATAAACCCGTGCATTACACGGGTGGAAAACTAGTTCTCTTAAGAGAGAGAATCAATATATTACTATTCATTTTTGTCCAGGCATTTTCATGCTTCAATCCCTTAGTATTGTTCATTAATTGGTTCAGTACTATTCACTAAGTGCTTGTTTATTAGAAATTTTGTTAATTAATTTTTTGATCTTGAAAGATAAAGTTGGTCTACCTGTAAGAGAAAATTTAAAAATGACGACTGAAATAGTAAAATAACGATAAAAAAATTGATTTTAATTGAGTTTTAAGCGGTACCAAACATGTTCTAAAAGTGGCTTCTGCTTTCTCTCTCTCACTTCGCACGTCGAGCTTTTGGATGAGCTCCTCTCTCTACAACGAAAATCAAACTCTGAGATGAAGAAGAAAGTTACAATTATATTTATTTCGAAATTTTCTCCACCATTTTAGATCTCAGGCTATACTTTTGTTTAATTTTTTGAGAATTTTGTAGGAAAATTGGGATGGGAGGGAGCGGGGGGGATTTGGAGGCCCAAATTGAGGCATTCCTGAATGTCAAGAAGCAGAGGACGAAAGCGGGTAATGTGGCCGACACTTGGAAGGCCGTGACTGACATTCTGAAGCTATGCTTTGACGCCGGTGCGTGGAAAACCTTCAATGATCAGATTGTGCTTTTTTTTTAAAGTGTTGTGGCCAGTTGAAACATGTCTAAACAATTCCTTATATGTATATGTTTCTTCATTCATAAAGATATCTGGGTAAGCTAAAAAAGTTAACTTGTTAAAAAATAAGCAAATCTTAAAATAAATATATTTCTATCGATCAAATTTAGAAACAAGTAGAAAAGAGTTATTTTCAGTAACTTTATTTTTATTAAAAGTAAGAGAAAAACAACTCATCCCAACTTATTCATGTAACGCTGCATTTCGTCCCTAATTTTTTGCATGACAAGTATAACCCATTTCATTATCCGTATAAATCTTGTAGGTCTGATAGGGAACTTCTGGGTCCTAACAATCAATATCCCATCGAAATTTTTGATATATTTCCTGAGGTCAGTTCCCGCTATATGACCAGTTAATAACTTAGTCTGCATTCTATTGTGGGGTGAAATTTTAAAGAGAGTATTACAATCCAGTTAGCCTCCACTTCACTAGGAGATCTTTGGACATTAATATACCTTAATATGCTCCGAAAGTGTGATCGTTTTACTTTTGGGCTTGTGTGTTTACAGAATTATCCTATCTCTGAACATTTGCTCCGACATAAATTGCGTATTGTTTGTACAGATTTCAATTTCTGGATTCGTATGGGTTCTCAGTTTTCTGATATGCATGTCAGTAATGGAGGAGCAGAGAGCAAGTGGTACCAGTTTCGGATCCTTAATCAGTCCTATGTTGAAGGTCCTAGATGAAATGTATAGTGCCCAAGATGAACGCATAAAGTGAGCAATGAAATTTATCTTACCTCTTTATTAATAATTTTCCATTTGAATGTGCAAGGAGATGTGCAATCATGCTAATGTCAAAAAAGAATGGACAGATGAAGAACTTAAGAAACTATATAAAACTAATGAGAGGCAGTTAAATTTTGTTTTCACTATTCTTTTATGTTCAGGGCAAAATATCTTCCTTAAGGGCCAGCAAGGTAGATCCTTCTTTTCCCGTGGTTTGAATTTTTTAGTCAATTAGGAGTTAAACTTCTTAAATTTCACTTGAAAGATAAGTATAGCCTCATGGAATATCGGTTTACTTTGCCTCTCAGAGTCGCCTTTTTACATTATCCATAAATATGAAGCTACAATTATATGAATTTGATGTATGGAATGAAATCAATTTACTAATCTTTCTTTTTGTTCCTTGTTGAGTGTGCTCGATCAATTCATGGCTACATCTTTTTTGATTTAGTTGTGATATATGCTTTCATTAGAATGAACTTAATGTTAGAACAAGTTAAGTCTTTCTTGTGAAATTAATCCTTTCGTTGTTCCTTGTATAAAACAAAATTCCCCTTCCCAGTTTTATACTTTTGGTTAGAATTCGAAATGTCAATGTACCATAAGTACTCTTTTTTTAATTTACAATGATGGAAAGAAAAATTCATATTGGACAACAATATAGTCTCACTATTTTCTGTTTTTGATTTATTTTACTTTGCAAACAGCGCAAAACTTATCGACATCTACCATACCCGCCATAACATAAGGATGTCAAGTGGTCTCAGTGATCCTGCTGTTACAACAGGGATATTTAATCTTATTTATGAGACTACCAAAATAAGGATGTCCAATTTTATTCCTGAAACTACTTGAATGAAGCCATTAGATTCAGAAGGCCTTGATGATAACCTTGTTAATGATTGTGCTGCAAACCTTAGTGATGATGGCTTATTGGGAAAAAAATGCACCTGCCATGAATAAGGTAAGAATCTTACCCATCTCTTGAGGAAGTTCCTCATACCCATGTTCGGATGGGTGTTTCCCGAATTTTATTTTTCACCATATAAATTATCGTATTTGGGAAAGATAAATCTCTACCTTTAAAACTAGATCATAGACCTTGAAAACCTGTCATTTAAGATTTTTGCTAGAACTATTTATACACACAATCACTGGAGTTGCTAAAGGGTCCTAATATTGAATTTGTAAGGGGTCCTGTACCATGACTTATCCAACATGAAAATTCATTAGAAGCTAAATTAATGGAGGTGTCATCAGATTTTATTTACACTCGTGCAGGTCAAACATGCCTAACGGACAGCCTAAATGGCTACTTTGTTTCATCCCAAACTATCCTTTGTTTAACTTCATGCTCACAATTGCCATTTAGATCTTCGTCAGTTAATCATAACTTTATCTTCAAATTATATTTAACTAATATTTTCTTCTTTCTTAACATTTTCTTTTGCATTTTGTTAACTGTTATAGGTATCATATCGACCTTTTGAGCTGACTAACACATTGAAGTTATCTTTAATACCCACAAGAGACAATGAGAAGCTATTTTACAATTTGTGTTGTGGGAGCCGCCATCTGTGGATCTTTATATTGCATTTCATTCATTATTCTGCAAGTCCCTCATTAATGGTAAGTTATTTAAGTCATTAATCTTTAATCATCAAACTACTTTTTTTTGCTTACTATTTACCTTATGAAATTTATTGAAAATCTATTTTAGTTCTTTCCATGCTGTCTTCAAAGTGTGGGGACTCCATTTGATGTTTTTGAAGAGAACTCACAGCATAGACAGGCTCCACCACTTGTTCAGCTCCTGGGACACCCAAGTTCCTTCCACAGAGAAAAAACTGTGACATTTATATTTTGTTATCAAACAATGGCTGTGATTATAAATTACTCATAAAAGTTATTTTAACATGAACAAAATTTTAAGGTCTTTGGAAGCGGACAAATCTGACTGATTTCAGGGTTCTTACTCAATGCCTAGCGCTTAGTAAAGTTAATGATCAGTATCTGATTAATCTTTTCCTGAAGATCTATGCAAAGATAATGTGCTCAATGAAATTGTAAGTCATGTTAAATATTATTAGATTTTTCCTTGATAGTTTTCAAAGTTTGATTTTTATCATCCGTCCCTTGCATTTTTGTGATTTTCAAGCTAGGTGGGTTAAATTTTCTCTTAGTCATTGAACAAAGTCTGCCTATCCCAGTGGTATCTAAGGTTACAGCCATACTACTTTGTATGGATGTGTCACATGGCTCACCTTGCAAGTCTGATATCCCATCCATTGTTGCGGTAAAATGTTACCAATCTCTTGTCTTGTTGATTTGTTATGCTCTTTCTAATTATTAAAACCTTCTTCTGTCCTTTTATTTTAAACAGTTTGTTAGCTTGAGGCAATGGCCATCAATCCCTCGTAACAAATAATGTGTTCGTACTCAATCCCTAATATTGAAATGATTGTGATGTAGGACGAATTAAAAAATAGAAAGAAGAAGTAAGAAAGAGGGGAGAACCGGAGAGAATGGGGGGAGAAATCGGAGAAGAAGCAGAAATTCATGGGGGAGAGGGGGAGGGAGAGGAAGGAGAAGCTATAGGCAACAAATCACAAAAATATTCTTCAATTCATCAAAACTAATGAAATTACATCGCAATTAGGTTTAAATAGTAAAGACTAAAACCCTAAATAGAATGGACTTGGGCCAACACAAACCCAATTACATAAATAAAATTTAAAACATAAATAAAGTCCAACTAAAAATAAATAAAAAATAGATGTCCTCATCGACTCTCCCGGGGTGGGAGAAAAATTCGGCCCTGTCGAGTTGATAGCCAGTATAGGCTGCAGTCAATCTGATACTCCAAATGCTTTAAGTCAAGCCACGAGGGACGATCTTTATGACAAACCAAGTAACGAAATTTCATGATTGATAGTGCTGAAAACTGTAGCTTATTCCCAAGACTATGATCTGACCACGGGGGGCAATCTTTCCTTTTAACCAAGGACTGATACTGGATTTCAAATAACCAATACTCATGCACTTCATCTTCAAGATTTTCACATGATTGTATATAATGAGGAGCATAAGAAACACGCCGATCTACCCAACAAACAAGGAAGTACTGAATTTTGTCATCATTGGTCAATACAACACATTTATCTAAAATAACATTAATTTTATCTTTGTGTACTGTGATAAATGGTATTGAAGTAGAAATATCAACATAGTCAAGTTGGGGGTCCATAAAGCTAAGTAGAAATAGATCATCAAAGGAAGTAACATGGTGTTTGTAAGTAATGAAGTCCTCAATATTTAAAGTAGAGTGTTAGCCAAAATATAATGAAAGGGCAATGACATGTGCATTTGAACCAACATGCTTTAAAATTTTTAAAGGACCAGCACTACAAGTTTGCAATATAACATAATCCCCAATATTACATTCAAAATATCGTTTATGCGAATCAGCTTGAAGTTTATATAATGCATTACTTGCGTCATGTTGTTTATTGATCTCAATATGCAAGTCATGAAGGTGACGTGCAAATTCTTTAGCTAACATCGACATACTAGTATATGGGAACATGGAAATAAGGTCTGACAACCGCCTACACTTATAACTATGAACAACTTCAAATGGATTTAGACCTAGAGACTGATTTGCAGAATTGTTATATGCAATTTGAACAATTGGAAGGATCAAATTCCAAATTCCTAGAGTTTCCTTGCAAAGAGCATGATTACACAAATCATCAATACCTTTGGGTGAGATAAGAGTAGGACACACAACATTTGACTGAGAGGTATCAGAAATAAGTGGTACAGTACCTAGACTCATAGAAAAAGTCTGAATACTATCTAAGGGGGTGTCCTCACTATTATCCAAGTCATCAAATTCTTCAAGTTTAGGTTCATAAATTTGATTTTCTAATCGCTCATCTCTCATATTCTTTTGTTCTTTAATGAATAAGGCTCGGTTAGAACATTCAGAAGAGATGTGGCCAAAGTCCTTATAGTTGAAACATTGCAAATGAGAAGAAGTTATTGAAGTTTCAAAATCTCGACCTTTATTGTCCAACAGAGGAGGAGCATTAAATGGGGGAGGACCTAGAAAGGACTTCACAGGAGAAGGTGGTGTTGATGAGACGAAAGAGGGAATGTTACTACGCCTTCGATACGAAGGTCTTGGGATATCATGACCTTTACACTTATTTTCCCAAAAGGGAGGGACATTAGATGAGGAAGGCTTTATGATAGACTTATGACGCGATGGTGATGATGAGATGGGTGAACGGTGACTACGCTTTCCATATGTAGCACTAATAAGTAACTCGTAGTCTCGAGCTAAAGAGTAAGCCTGATCAAGAGTAGTGACACATCGAAAAAAGAGCTCATGCCTAAGTTCATCTCTTAGACCTTGTATAAACCTATTCAAAGTTAAGGCTTCATCCTCAATGACATGACGCTTCATTTGAAACTCCTCAAATTGAGCAATATACTCAGTCACTAACTGATTCCCTTGTTTAAGGGCATTCCATTGAGTAAGAACTTCAAAATCTAAGCAACCATCAAAAGTAGGAGTGTCTAATTTAGTGTATCTAAAAGAACTCTCCTTATGATCGTATTGAAAATACTTTTGGTCACTTTGTCCACGATAATATTGTCTATTATGAGACGTTTCAGAATTAGTGTCAGTCAAATGAGGGGTTCACTTAAAATTGCTCAACTTAGCATTTAGGTTCTTTCTCTCCTCATGAGTAGCAGTTATATCTAATTGAACATTCGATAGGCTAGTGGCAAGTTGCGCTAATTGTTTAGTGAGTGCATCAAATTGGGATGGATCCATGGTCAATGTATTGGAAATAGAGACGACAAGATGATCACTACGCAACTACATGCAATGTAATATCAGTTAAATGACGTGCAATGATGAGATCAATGAACAATAAATGCAAGCAATGAAAATAATAAATTAAGCATTTTTTTCAGGGTTAAGTAAATTCAATTATGGTAAGCTAATACTGCTGATCTATGTAAAATAACAAAGCAATGGTACAAATGATTAATCAAAAGGTCTATGCACGTGAGGCAATCGAGGAACGACAGGATCAAGTGAGGGTTTGAAGCTAAAATTATCCAAGTAGCAGCAATACAGAGGGTTAATTGATGCAATTGTAAATGAAGCAGTAGTGTAAACTAAAGATAGATAAGAGCAGTGGCTCCCTGTAGTTCGGTTATGACTCCCCGTACTCTGATTGATCTGAATTGCACAATAAATTGCCTTTGACTCCTCGAAGTTCGTGTAAACATCTGCTCCTTGAAATTAAGTCTCCAGTTGAGCTGGGTGATTGTGGCTGCAGTGATTTAGAACGAGGCTAATGGCGGTGAAAATAGTTGCAGTGAAGTAGAAGGTGGCTTCGCAAGATGCAATCGAGCTGACTAGTGTTGCACTTTAGAGTCCAGTCCAGATTTGAGGTACAAATTGCTATCGAAATACTTTTCCACTTTCAAAATCCCCAAAAAGGCCAAGCCAATCATTAAACTGATGCAATGGAAGTCACTGTCTTCTCAGCAAATTGCAACGGTAGTTGCTGTACCCAAAAAGAAAAGGAACGGTTCGAGTTTGCTGGGTTATGGCTCTGCTTTGCTGGTGAGGAGAACGACTGGAAGATAGTGCAAAAGTGGTGGCAGTTGAGTGTCGGCAACGGCGTTGGTTGGGGAAGATTTGCGGAAGACGGTGAGGGAGGATAGATAGAGGAAGTGAAACCGACAAGAGAAAGCCGATTGGACTTAGGGCATGAACGAACAAGTCGGGTCGGATTTAGGTCAGTGTACCAGTTTAGGAGTTATACGGGCTGTTTAATTTTGTTGGTAATTGACGTCGAGAGGGATTGAATCAAGGTGGAGGGAAAGCCGGCTACGAGTTAAGGCTTTAGTGAAGAGGATGGTATTTGGGCCGGATCTAGTGGGGTTGTGGTTGGGCTAGATTTGTTTATAATGGGCTATTGATGTACTAGGAATGGGCCAGACTTGTTGTGTTAAAGCTGGGCCTGTTTATGTACAGCTTCAGGTAATGGGTTGGGGAATTTCATTATGAGTTGGTTAGTTAGGGATCTTGTTGTGAGTTCAATGGTTTGGAATATAGGGGCCGAGTGGGGTATTGGACTTTGTAGGAATTGGGAAGGTGGGCTAAGGCTTTGGATTGATGGGGTTGGATTGTTGTTGGTTTACAAGGGGTGTAAATCTGTAGCGAATATTGAACAACAGCACAGGAACTGAACATGCAGCAAATCTGAAATTCTTTTTTTTTTTTTTTATGAAGCTGAAAATACTAAAATTGAATTTTCGGGTGTGAATAGTACCCCATGAACGGTAACACGGTTTTTTTTTCTCAACTAAGTTTGAAAATTGAAGAAGAAAAATTGCTGCCTTTACCAAAAATTCTTTTAGTTTGTGCTGTTCCAACAGATTTTGGGAAGAAAATAGAAAGAATTTTGGATTAAGAAGGAAAATTTACCCAAGTTTAGGCTCCGATACCAAATTTGATGCAGGACGAATTAAAAAATAAAAAGAAGAAGCAAGAAAGAGGGGAGAATCGGAGAGAATGGAGGGAGAAACCGGAGAAGAAGCAGAAATTCATGGGGGAGAGAGGGAGGGAGAAGAAGGAGAAGCCAAAGGCAACAAACCACCAAAATATTCTTCAATTTATCAAAACTAATGAAATTATATCGCAATTAGGTTTAAATAGTAAAGACTAAAACTCTAAATAGAATGGACTTGGGCCAACACAAGCCCAATTACATAAATAAAATTTAAAATATAAATAAAGTCCAACTAAAAATAAATAAAAAGTAGATGTCCTCTTCAGATTGCTTCTTATGTATCAAACACTGAGGATGCAGGCATAATCAGATGAGTTTATTGTCTTCTGTTGGCATAATTAAAGCAATTCGACAGCCATTTTTTGTAGTATAAATTCTGTAATGACACACTTGTAAGGTGACTAATTGGATCATGATCTAAACTGTAGGGAGCTTTTGATTGATTTCTATGTCACTTCACGAAAAAAGAAACCGATGAAATTATAATTTTCAGGTAAATTGTTGTATTATAGCTTGTAAAATGCATTGTTTTCCTCTTGTAAATTTGAATTTTCCTCTACAATATTTACTGTTCCCTACTTGTTTAAAATTTGGATTGATCATTACATCTCTATGAAACTTTATTTCTTTTATACAAAAAAATCCCCATTTCTTTTACAGTGATCATATTGTTATACAAATTGCTTCTAAAATTGTTGCCTTTCAGTTTATGACTGGTTTCAGTCTTCCCTGCTCCATTCCCATGACTTCAAAGTTAACATTTCTTTGTAGAATCTGAACAAAGAGTCTGCAGAGTCAAGGTGGAAGCCTGGTTTGCAGACTTGGGTGAATAGAGGAGGTCAGGGAAACTATTCATCATGATACTTATCTTGTGGTAAACCTATAATTAATGCCTTTGTAGGAGAGTAGTGTTAAACAGAATTATATGCCTTTCAGATCAAAAGTCGAGTTTTTTATGTTTGATCCAGTTATTTTCACATCCAACACAACTTTTCACTAATGTCTGCTGGAATAAATATCAAACCTTGACTATTTCAAAAATTAATTAATGCAACATTATTTTTATATTCTTTTTTAGAAAGTGTTTATAAACGATTTAAAATTGTATATATATAAGAATGAGTGACGGATAAGTGGGTTGTACATGTAAGTCCCTCGAAATGTATAAATAAAAAGTTACTTGAGTGATTGTAAACTTGAGTCGAACATAGTCTTAGGTTTTTAATACTGTATGTAGGCTGGATCTAAGTGGATTCAAAAGTTTGCTTCTTTCCTTCTTTTATTTAGCTGTGGATAATCAACTAACCAAGCTATTGTAGGTTAAGCCATGATAATTGATTCAGAAGTTTTTTAATATATATGAAGATGATCAATCATACATGGTGGATAACGTGTTGAATTACCAGCCTAATATATATGCAAAGATGGAGACTGGATTAAAGTATATGTTATGCTTCCCTACTTGCATTATGCTATTTCTTGTGAAATGTAGGACGGACGGACGTACTTCTAAATGTGCTGTTTTATCGATATACCAATTGATATAGTTACTATGCTAAGTGTGTGACTTATTGGTTTTTTAGGGTAAGCATTAAAAAATAACCATATGATAATATGAACTAATAACCAGCTCATATCTTTATAAGCATTATATCCAATCTCATTTTTCCTCTTTGAATCGAGGATATAATTTTTTTTTCTTTGATCTATATTTACTATGGCTTTCATTTACTATTACTTTATTCATTTTGATCTTCTAGAGTTATATTTCAACTTAGCAACTTCTATTTTTTCTTCTGTTTCCATTTTTTCTACTACATCACAATCTTGTTCCATGCAATAGAAATCTAAAATCTGACAAACAAATACTTTTTCTAGGTACAATGATGGTGATCCTATATTCGAAAATGATCAATCTTACATGTTGAATAATGTGTTCAATTACCATCATGATAAATATACAAAGATAGAAGCTGGACTAAAGTATATCCTGGTACACTTCCCTGCTTACATTATACTGTAAAATATATGACACTAGTACTTGCTAACTATAATGTTTTACAAGGCATGCACTCAGATGTTGTAGTATTGAGTAAGCCTAGAATGTGGCGCAAGGCATTACAGATTGTCAATAAAGAAGTTTTAAGAGCTTTCTGGAAAGGAAATCTGGTTACAATTGCTTGACTTCCTTATTCTTCAGTCAACTTCTATGTGCACGAACGTTACAAAGTGAGTTTTTAAGAAATGAAAATTACAGCTTTGTTCTGTATAAACCATATTTAGTATACTATTTTACTGATGTCATATTCTTTGCCGATTTTAAAATCTATCGCTGCACTAGATGGTCGTCGGGGAAATGCAAGTGCAGATATCCTTCTGAGCTTTTATGGGTGGTCGTTTGTCAAGAATAAATGCTACTTTGACCACCTATCCACTAAATCTTGTGAAGATACAGCTTGCTGCAAAGGTAATATAGTAATACTTCATGTAGAACTACCAAAAAAGAAAAGATTAACATAAATGAGGACAACATCCGCAGCTTATTTCCAATAAATTTGGATGGGGACATAACAGTTTAAACAGAAATAGAGTTGTACCCGATGAAGCTACTACAGAAATGAAGGTTTCTTTGGTCTAGTATGTATCTTGCTTTGGTTCCTTGTATGACTAGATATGTTTATCTCAATACAGAAATTTTTCTCTTGCTCCATTTGTCTTATATTTTAGTTTACTTTTTTATTTTTAATCTCTTAGATGCTCTACGTGTTTCAGGGTGTTCGACTTAGTATAGCCATAACTTTCTATTTTATGAGATCTTGAAGAACTTATTGGCATTCTTAAAGGCGAGTATGTAGCCATTGATGTAATTTGTGTTCCCCAGTCATTTCTTCGTCCTTTGTCTTCTTCACAATGACTTGTGGCTTCTCTATTAGGCCAAATGATTCTACTGTTACGATCAGCCTTGCTTGCTGCAATCTTTCTAGGATTGCTTCATGAACATGTAGTTTATTTTATTGCTAGAAAGACATTTACCATTTCTACTGGGTGAGTGGTGCATTTTTGAAGATATTTTGAAGGGGTGGCTCAGTTATTATTATTAACATTTAATATATCATGCCTTTTATTATAGGTAAATACTTTCTTTGTTTGGAGCTGTTAAAATTCAATCTGTACAACACGTTTAAGATAACATGTTTTTGATACTAATGCTTAGAATTTACTATTTAGAATCATTGCGACTTGAATACCAGTGTAGTAATTTCTGGCATTCTATATGTCTCTCTACTATTTTTATCTTAATTCCATTTCATTTTGCTAACCTTATTCGACGTAGATAATTCCCATCAATCTTTATCATTCAGCACGCTAACATTACCTTCAAAATAATACAGTCTGTGCATTGCACGGCCAAAGACTAGTGTTTAGGATAAGAATTGATTTATTTAGTTCCAGAGAAATAAATAACAATATATAGAGAACTAGCTTACTCCATATATTAATTGAAATGTCTCAATACACGACAATCATGAAAAAATTATGAACATCTCCAAACGAATCAAAATTCGAAAATGAAATTGCTCAACCAGTACAGACCAATTTGATTCTTTCCTTTACCATTATTTATTCAAGCTCATCTTCAATTCAAACCATAACTAATAAAAAGAAAACCCGATGAAAGAATTAAAAAACCCTTTTGACTATCACCATATTGGAATGCTAATTCACAAATCCAGTATAAGAAAGCTAACTTTCATCTAGGAATTACATACAAAAACAGAACACAAAAAATAGAAATAAAAATTGATAATCAAGGTTTGTGTAATTTGCACCGTGGAGACAATAGGTGCCTGGGATTGGGGACGGTAGCTAGGAAGCAGAGTTGGGATACTGAAGATGGTCCTTGTAGAGCTTGCAATACAGCAACGGTGGCAAGTATGTTGCTGTAGGCGTTTACAGTTGATTTTACTTCTCTTTCTTGATTTCTCTCAATAGTAACATTAAAGCCAATAACTTCGTTGTTGAAGAAGCTATCGATGTACAAATTTCGAATCTTCGAAGTTTTACTGGATTGGAGACAATGAGAAGGTAAAGAGGAAGACAACACTAATTTAATTTCAAAATGGATGATAGGGGCTTTACAGTGAAGTTGAAGGAGAAATGACGGGTGAGATGAGGGAGATTTGGTGGTTATTGAGTCCCTGTTTGATGCCCATTACCTGAAAATGAAAATGGGGGGAATAATATTTTTTTTAAAAATGAGTGATTGAAAAAGAAAGAAAAATTTTCGATTTACGTGACCAAATCCGTTTTCCCTCCTTCGAGTCTAAGATGCTGGCCACCACTGTTTCTATGAGAATTACGTCCAAGAACTCGTTGAGTTTACCTATTGTTTATATATCTAGATATTTGTTATCGATTTTATTTTTGTAAGTGTACGGATCGCAACAAGTAGTAACTGGACCTAAGAGTTTAGATTATCGTTCTCACGAAGAAAATATTTTAGCACTTAATCTAATCTTTTTTCTAACCACTATTCGATGGAAGCAAATAAAAACTTGTGATTTGAGTTGCAATCTAAATACTCAAAAGTGGATAACACACGATTGCTTCAGAAATTAAATAATGAACGGACATTATGGCAGAATAATTTCACCTATTGATCACCTTTAAGATTCACATCTAATATCGTGTTCGGTTAAATTCTTCTATTGTATTTAATTTACCCATTTCTTATTGAGCCTATTTAACCAATTTAATTATATATCTCTATGCGAATCTAATATAGTTAAACGAGTTCTTGGTCCTAAGAATTCAATTATGACCGCAATAATTAGTAGATGTATCTCTACTCGTTATACCTGTTCACCAAATTTTACTACATGATCTAAATTCTAAACTCATATCTCTATGTGTAAAGGATTCACGAAATCATTAAATTAGTGATCAAGTAATTTAATATATTAAATCCATAGTAAAATCAACACATGGAAAAAATAAAGACCAAGAATCTTAATTAAAAACATAAATGTTCCCAATTGGGTTACATTATTAGCCTTAACAATAGATCTAGCTATTCACAATGAAAGGAAAAAAAATAAATCGTTATAAAATACGTCATCGAATTTATAGTAGAGATGTAGAAAAAACAATATCAATCTTGCACTAAGAACTCCATCTTCCAATTTATGCTCCATCCCTTGAATTTCTTGTTGTTTTTCTTTCTTGAATTCTTCTCTTTAATCTCCATGTGCGTCCATTGTCTCTCAATCTGTGAATCCCCTTTAAAATTATGAGACAATTATATTTATAGGTGCCTTCCCGTGTGTTTAAAGAGTAGGATTTTTCATAGATTCCAAATGTTGCGGTATTGGCGGCGCCGCACATTCTCTCTGTCGTCCTTAGTGCCGCAGTGCCCCAAATGTTTTGCTCCTTCATTCGTGGCGCCGTGGCGCCACTATTCCAATCTTTGTGCTTTGCTTCTTTTGTCCTTATATCCATAATTTCTCTTCAATCATGTCAATAGCTTTATTTGATAAACTTCTTTGTACCTTTCAACATCTCAACAATCCTATAAACAATATTAACAAATACATTAAAAACGTTTAATACTCGTAAAATCTAGCTTACAATCAAGTTAAATTTGGCTTAAACTCGTGAGTAAAACACACTCGTCAATATTATTTTGTGTTTTTTTCTATGATTGGGATCTTTTGCCTTTCTTAAAAGCTACACTCTCCGTGATCAAAGTGGAACAGGAATGTTCTGGGTTGGATAACCTCAGTTGGATAGGATTGAAATTTTTAGAGGATATTGTTTATGCTGTGTCGATTTTTTGTTTCATTGCTCAAAATCTGAAAGAAAGTTCAGAAATTTGAAGTTCAGGTAACTTCTAGATTAATCCGATATTTATTTCATTTCTGGGTATTTGTTGGTAGCGAAAAATGGGTTTGTTTTAATCGTTTGATGTAAACAAATTTTTGTTTCCCTTCTATTTTGGCATGAATCGAGGATTTGGTAATAAAAAATTCTACCTTTTGATTTCTTTAAGGAATTGTATGCTATTTTGAGAACTTTATATGGAGATATACTTTTGTGATGAATAATAGCGGTGCATGTGGGATGGCTCAAGACAATTTACCAGTACTATATTGGATCAAATAACTATATTAAGGTTTGCATAGTAACTAATTATGCTGTTTTTATGGAACTCTGCTTGGCTTAATTCTGATTCTTGGCATTTGAATTGATGGCAAGTTGCACTCAGTTGTTATATCATTGCAGCGTGATCCTAATAGGAAGTTTATATTTGCTATAATGTTAGCTGCTCTACTGTTCATGTTTTATTTCTTTTTTATTAAGTCAATGCACTTCTGAAATTAGAAAAGTTTTTGAGTTATTTAAGATAATCAAAACTGAGATCATTGTATTGTTGGTCATAATGACAAGGCATGTCTCCAGAAATGAATGATTCGATAAAATCAATTGTAGAAGAGAAGGCCTCTCTATTGGAATCTGTTGATAGATGTTCTAATGATCAATCCAATGGCCCAAAAAGTGTAAATGCTTCTGTGGACAATCGAAAGAATACCAATCATTTGTTGAACGTTCCTATATTGAATACATGATGTATAAATAATTATATACGACGGTTCATGCGTTTCAAGTGTAGACAATAGGGTGGTTTAGAATTATTGACACCAACATAATCTATCATTATTTTTTAAAAAAAAATTCTTTTTTAGTATTTGCCATTCAAGTTTTTGTCACTTCCAACACACACCTCTTTTTCTTCTTCTTCGCTCTTTTTTTTTTTTTTTTTTGGGTGAAATCTCTCTGATATTTGTATGAATAAAGGATGAAGGCATTTGAATCGACTGAGAACAGCAAAATTAGGCTAGGTCTGTTTCGGTGATTTGAGGGTTTGATGCCATGCTCGGATTTGAGAGGATTATCTAGTTTTAAAATTTTAGTGTTGAATTGGATTTATTTTGGTCTGGTTAATACTTAATTTGATCACTTTTGAGTGTTTTATCACTTTTTTACGTGTTTGTCACTTTTTTAAGCTTTGTCACATTTTTTTTTGAAATTCTGTTACTTTTTAAATTTTTAGTGTTGAATTGAAACTATTTTAGTCTAGTTAATACTTCACTTGACTATAGAAAAGTGACACATTTTTTAGTATTTAATCACTTTTTTGAGTGTTTGTTTGTTACTTTAATATGTATAATTTTTTGAATTTCTGTCATTTTTGCTGTGTCACTTTTTAATTTTTTTTAATATTATGTTACTTTTATTTTTATTGTCTGATAATTTTACTTTTTAAATTTCTGTCACTTTTTTTATATAAGTGACATTATATATCTTTTTTTTAATAAAAAAGAGAAGCTAATCTTTTAAAGATCATGTTTAGAATTTTGTGGGTAGACTACGTTCAATTGGAACTATTGTAATCTGGTTAATATTTTATAATTTTCTCAAGTAGGTAGATTGTGTGACACTTTTTTTGAATTTCTATAACTTTTTAGTGTTCGCTACTTCTTTTGAATTTCTGTCATTTTTTTAAAAAAATTTCATGTCACTTTCTTGAACTTTCTATCACTTTTTTTAGTAACAAACATCACATTTTTGTTTTTGTGATTTTTTTTAATTAATAAAAAAAAGTGCGACACTTAAAAAAGTGACATAGCATCACTTTATTTTATTTTTT